ATCCCGCACGTACGGAGCGAAATAAAAATGGTGGCGCGCGCGTGGCGGAGTTGTGGTGGGCCGTCTCTAAAAATGCGCGCCGGATTCCCGGACGGTGACCTCCGTACATGTAGGAGACAAACCGTAGGACACGCGGTTGGCCCGAATCACGGTCAGCTTCGTCGAGCTTCGTCGAGCTTCGTCACGTATGGCCGTATACCGTGCCCCATTTTCGCGACCACCCGCTTTTTGTCTACGTCCGCCCTGTATTCGCCGCCTTTCGCTTCTCTTCGGGGGAAAAGCGAAAAATCGGTCGCATGAAAATCGAATGTTTTCATTTCTCTCGCCTCTTGAATTCTATATCGAAGATATTACACAGTTTATTGTTTAGCTTTAGCGTTGTTTCTGTTCTCACCAATTTTTGATTATTATCGATCGACAAATAATTGGAATACGTGTATGATCGGTCAAAAAAATATGTTGATATCAAACGACGAAATTAGGTCGGTGAAGATTAGTAGAATGGGGTAGATAGGTTAAATATGTAGAAGAAACCAGTCATCGTCGAGTAGAATAAGATTATAGTCATATCCATATGAGTACAATGAGATAAAAGAGACAAATACAATAAGAATCGATAGTAGTAGAATGAAACAGCCTTTGTCAGACATGGAGAACGGAGTATAATCGTATCGAGTCAAGTAGAACAGGTCAATGATCATCACCAGTAATGTAATAGATACTTGTAAATTTTGATCCCTCAAAATCAATCGATCAAATTTTTTTTCTTCCTTCTTCTTGAATCTTCTTGTCAATCATAAACCGTTCAATAAATATTCGAAGTGTTCCTTATTAAAGGTTTCCTTATTTAAACTCGCGATGATCAAGTACAGATATGAGAGATGAAAAAAAGTGTCGCTAGATTAAAAATATTCTAGAAAACACAATGATTCGAGATATTCGTTCTTCTTTATAAGTCCCGATAATAAATAAAATTGTCCCTCACTCTGACAAATGAACCGATACCTTCGAAAGACTTTACGTGGAAAGGACACTTTTTTAATGCATTTCGTTGCGGTATAACGAGGAAGAAGCATCGCTAATTTTATCCAGCTTCTCAGAAATGCTTCTTCGTTAAGTGGCGTCGATAGACGAACTTTTGATCTTAATTGCGCCTCGAACCTCGACTCTCCCTTTCCCTTCTCGGCAGGGAAACGATCAATTTTTCTCGCAGAGATCCGCCCGCGGAACGAACTTTCACCCCTCCCTTTGTTCTCCCCGCCGCGGGTCATCGGCATTCGGGCAAAAAATAGAGGATGAAGCGCGCCTCCCGATTCATCCATGGTTTCGCCCCTTCGATCTCTCTGTTCCAACGTTTCATTAGAGGCGCTCCATTAAAGCGTTTCTGCCGATAGGGTCGAAATTTTGCCTACTTCGGTGTTTCTCTTTTCTTCGGGAACAAAAGAACGGTGGCAGGCAAAGGGGCGCGTCATCTCGCCGCTCTACAGGAGACTTCTAAAACAGTAGGCGGTAAAATCTCTCGAAACTTAAGTAAAAAAAATCTTCCCAAATTTCAAACGCGTAAAGTAGGAAAGATTTTTCGTACTTGGTCGTAAGGAAACAGAATGAAAGAAATTTTAATTGGGCCTATCGCCTCGTATATTTTATATGAAAGTTACGTCAGCGAATCTACGGTTTTAGAAACGTCTTGTATCTCTTTCCAGGAGGAAGGATGGGGAATAGAAATAAAAAGTTGCGAAAATAAAAGAAAAGAAAAAAAAAAAGAAAAAAAGGAGATGAAAAAACACAAGTCGGAGTCACGTTGGCATCAGCGGATGGTATTCTCCAAGAGAAAGAGAGAGAGAGAAATTTAGAAGGAAAAGGAAGAGGAATTTGCGACTGGACTGTAGGTTGTAACGAGAGAGGAAATCTCTCGCGCGATGGAAAGGAGGGCAGAGGAGCGAAAAAAGGGGGGAGGTTGGAAAGGGTGAAAAAAGCGTAAGGGAATAGGATCAACAAACAGATTAATCTGTGTTACGTTCTGGACGCGGGCCGTGGCCGGGTCACGGTAGAAAAAGAGGGTGGAAACGAGCCTCGGTGGAAAAACGAGGAAAACCTGGTGTTGGACGTTGGCGAAATAGGAGTGGCCGCGCAGGGTGGAAGGGCGAGGGAATTTAATTCTCTAGAGCTCGTTTATCAAAACAGAAAACGCGGAATATTCTCGTCAACGGGGCGACGAGCTCTCTCTCTCTCTCTCTCTCTCTCTCTCTCTCTCTCTCTCTCTCGCTCTCTCTCTGTCGCGCGACCGGCTCGCGTCAACGTCCGGATATTTTGAAAATTCGTCATCGGCAGCCCGCCGCGAACGTCAAACAACGGGGTGACCTCGCGCGTCCGTGTTTCCTACAGAATGATTCGCAATGAATGGGGGAGGGGGATCGAGGGTAGTAGCGAATTCTATTCGGATACGCGAATTCGCCCTTCACCGATTTAATTAGTGCATGATTAAGCTATTTTCCTCGATTCAACCCTCACCTACGCTGTCCGATTCTGTAAATATCCTCCTATTCATCCATTCCATCCCGTTGAATCAAT